TTTGGAAAATATTAAAAACCTCTCTCTAAGTTCTCTCTCTAAAATGTCTTTCTAAGTCCTTTAGTTTTCCAGACCTTCAAACTTCTTTCATAAGTTCTGATTCTATCTTCCATCCCGGAAGTCGAGATTCTGCTCCGTTGCTTTAGGTAAGCACGAATGGATGTCAATACGACGGTCAATATGACTGTCGTGGGGAACGTATTATCCTAAGAGTGATGATTTCACAATGATCCACTACCATGATTGCATGCTTTTTGTTTATTTTCTACTCTTGTAATTGTTATCGTATTAATTATTTGCGGAGAGATCTTGGATATTATGAGAATATCTTTGATATTTCGATAGAAAATCAAAGTAACGAATAGTTTGTTGTAGTCAAATAGAGAAAATATTTTTTCAAAAAATTTAGTTCACGTAATAATGTTGTTTTGATGATTTTTTTAGTTGGATATATTTTTTGTTGTAATAAAAAAAATAATGGATCTGTTTTGTTATTAACAAAATAGAAAAAAAAACTGTAGGGATATTTTGGAATCACAAATCTGAGGGTAGAAGGTTGTGTGGGCAGATCGTGGAAAGAGACTGAACCCACGAGTGGATTGGGATGGATTCTGCAGGTCCAAGACGGCAAGACGGATCTCCTCGGCTTACGAGGAATGCGAAGGACACTATCTCCTTTACACACGGAGATGCATAGCCTACTTTGGGCATAGCCTACTTTGGGCGATGACGAGATTATGGGAAAAAAAGGAGATATTGTGCGCTGTTCATAACAGATTCACAGGAATTGATTACTATGGTACAGGAACCGGCCAAATGGCCCCGCTTCAGACCAAAGTTGGATGAGTTGACGGACTTACGCTCCTACTTCCCGGACTTTACGCTCACGTATTGCCCCAAGGACCAGAATGCGAAAGCGAACTTACTCGTGAAGACCGCTCATTGGTTCCCGGATACATGATTTGTCAACGTAATTAGTCAACGTAATTGGCTCATTGGTTCCTCATTGGTCAACGTAATTTGAATTTTTTTCACTTCGGTTCCTCATTGGTCCCCGGATACGGTTGTATTTGGATAGTCAATGAACGAAGTGTGTTTGTGACCAAACAAAAAAAAAAAAGGGTAGAAGGTTGTATTTTTTACTCATGTTTTAGGCAAAATAATCCATTAAAATCCACCACCACTAAAATCTCCTAAAATCAAGGGGACTTTGAATAACACCTCTTTTTAATGTATTTCAAAATACAACAAACAAATACAAGATCTAATAACAGTAGATTTTAATGTATTTTAGCAAATACACAATTGAATAACACATGAAAACACGATAGATTTAAAATCCATCTAATTCAGTTAAAATACAGTATCCAATAACACCTCCTTATTTACCAAAATCTATTCTTAATGATGAGGTCATCAGACCAGTAGCTGAATTGGAGCTCCATAAAACGTGCCACACCAGCCGCATAGGAGTCGACAGAGACACATCTGCCTTCCCTGGGGCATACCGAATTAACCACGGAGATTCAGAGCATGAAACCACTCGAAAAACGTTCTCATCTCAACTACAGCATGACAATAATTTGAATCAACCTAATCGTAGTTTCCACGAAAGAGATATTCAGTTTGCAAGTCGAGTGTTTCTTGACTTGCCCGGTTTGGACATATGCAAATTAATTAAATATTTCCGACAAAACCAGGAAGATTTAAGGTACTAACCAAACTTGTTCTATATTCTTGATCCATCAGGGGCTCATGAAGATTTTGAATCAAGTCAATACCGGTTTTTGGTTGGGAGATATTAAGTTTCTAAACCGAAGAATCCTACACTCGCCTTATTTGGAACCTTTCGGATTTGGGAGACTTCAATCACATGTTTGGCGTCCAGGAGAGTATCTACTACAACTAGAGGCTCCTAAGAACACCTCAAGCTTCATTCCCAGCCATTGGATCAGGTGGATTCAATCTTACCTACTTATACACCAAAACTTTCCATATGCAAGCCCGATTATGGAAAGTGTCTTTACCGAATAGTTTATTTCCTTGGAGAATAAGATTTGGCGTCCAGGAGAGCCTTTAATTCATTCAGAGGCTCTAAAACGTGCTCCTAGCTGTGCACCATAACGCAGAAGATTAGGAGGATATGTCAAAGAATCAGCTTTACTAAAATGGACCCGTTTGAAGAGTTAGTTCTCCAACAGCTATATGCATCTTTAAGGAAACGAATCAAGACATCMAGAGGGAGAATGAGGCATGGTTATCACATTAAAATATCAAGATACAAAGCATCCAATCACCTTCTCATCTATTCAAGTTGGAATCGTCTCCAACGGCCATATTCCACATTTATGATAAATTATTTGTTTCTCATTTTAGTTTTATTACCGTTAGCTTGTTTATGATCTGAGCATTATATAAGCTCCTTCAGTTTTGCATATGTAATCACCTTTCAATCCAAAATTAATCAAAGTATTTTGTTCTTTTGTTTTAAGTGTGTTTTCTTGAAGAATTGTTCTTTCTTTAGACTTAATTGTGCGATTCACTTAGATCTTTAGAGGCTGCGAGTTAGCTTGTTTGTGTGATTCAAACAATCTATTTTGTTCACAGATTGAGAGAGTCAATCACCCCATCGATTGAGAGAGTCAATCAAACCATCACCTTCCATCTCAACATCGCGCCCATTTCCGCAAGAAAGCTTGTAAACTCTTGATTATCTCGTGAACATAAGTTTGGTGGATTCCAATCTTATATCATCTGGTATCAGAGTAGATTCCAATCTTATATCATCTAGTATCAGAGTTAAAAACTCCTATCAAACTCAGGTTGTGTTCATCCAACC